ACGGGTCAACACAGTGAAACCCCATCTCTACTAAAAATACAAAAATTAGCTGGGTGTGGTGGTGCACACCTGTAGTCCCAGCTACTTAGGAGGCCGAGGCAGGAGAATTGCTTGAACCCAGGAGACAGAGGTTGCAGTGAGCCAAGATTATGCCACTGCACTCCAGCCTGGGTGACAGAGCAAGATTCCATCTCAAAAAAAAAAAAAAAATTGAAGAAGCAGGTTTTAGGCTGTGACTCTTGGAATGACCCTCAGAACAATAAGAATCAGCCAGTGGGGGAATTATTGTCACTGAGATCAACGCTGGAGCCAGGCAATCTAGGTTGAAACTCTAGGAACTAACACCCAAAACATCGAGATGTGACTGTTCCTGAGACTCAGGAAATCAAAGATAAACACTGGGAAAACTTAGAAGAAATCCATGACTCTCCTGAACCCACAGTGAAAAACAGAAGCTGTAGGGAGGCCCAGCTTCAGCCCTGCCTCACCAGTCTTGCTCCACATCAGGGGCCAGCAAACATGTACTAGAAAGGGCCAGAGAGTCCAGATTTGTAGCTTTGTGGGCCATAGACTCTCTGTCACAACCACTCAACTCTGCCATTACAGTGTCGAAGCAGCCAAAGCAACAAGTAAATGAACGAGTATTCTGTGCACCTGTTTACAAAAACAGACTTGGTCCCTGGGCCATAGTTAGCCAATCTTCACTCTAGTGAGTCTAAATGGAACTACTTTACCTCCAGAATCCTAGCTGCAAAGGAATCTTGAAAATGTATTTTTTAGTTTTCTAATTAAATGGACCTGAGACCATGAAGGAGTACCACATTCCTGTCCGATGAAACACATTGCTCCTGCTTCTTTCTATTTATTTGAATGTAGAGAGAGCATTAGCCAATACAAAAGGTGCATACCAGGAGACAAGGGCTGTGTTGATTTGTTCCACCAGAAAAGCTACCTCTTGAAGAATTGCTACAGCTATAGTCACATATTATTACATGTATGATAATTTATTGTCATTCTCCAAGAATCACCTGTCCTCTGCATGAAGAGGACACGAGAGTCGCCTCCTCTGCATCTTGCAAGACTCTGATGGTGCACCATCTTTGAAATTCACCAGACATGTTTGTCGATTTTGGTTTTACAGGGAAAGGTAGTTCCAGGGGTTTCCATTAGACCATTTCTACCAGAAGGACCCTAACCTCACCCACCACATTGATAAGGAAATCTTTGTGGAGATTTGAGCAGTTGTTGAGTATTTCTATCTCAACTTTACATTCAGGAGCTAGAAAAATAACCACAAGATGGGCTTCCAGAGCCACTGGCCTACTGTGAAATAGACTTGGGCCAAAATTCCATTTCTCCCCTGACCATCTCACCTCCCACATCAATCTCCAATCTGGTTTGGATTCATATCAGCCCAGAGCCTGTGCCTATGAATCCCTGAAAATCTGGGTTTCTCCCTTTCCGCTGTGCACGGCCACCCTAGTTAATGGCTTCACATAACTTCTTAGATGGTAGGAGGAAGATAGAGTATGCTCTTGTGGCAGTTTCTCTAGGGTCTGGACTCAAGGGGAACCAACCACCTCTTCTCTCAGGGACTTTCCATAGTGTCTGCTCACTCAAGACTCAGGAGTGTTAACTCAAGTGCTTTTCAGCTTATAGATCAGATAGGTTGTCTGTTGATTTCATGGACACCATGACCCCACCCTGGAAACCTGTGGGCCCAACCATCCTGAGCACCACTTGGCCCTGCTGCTGGTCATGGTGGTCACTCTCATCTTGTCACTGACAGCAGAGTTAACTCTTCTGGAGTTAAGGCTTGTGAAGGAAAGTTAGAGGTCCAGGTCACCAACAGATGAATCTATCACTCAACTGACTATGACAGGAATATAAAGCTAGCTTTTACCTTTTTAATTTGTTAAATAAAAGAACTGTGATTGTATTTAACACAGACTTCACGCTTGATTTCTTCTCCTATTGGCATATGACTGATATCTATGAAAAACTGTGTTTTTGTTGTATTTCGGTGCTTATGGCAAACTCAAAATTTGGAATTTAAGTTGTCACTATTTGGGGTTTTGCCTCTTTGCTGAGACACATGACAAAGTCAGGGGTAAACAGGCCTTATGAGGCATTTTCTGTCAACAGTCAGAACTAGAGTCCCTTGATGAATCACAAATCTATTTAGCTGAAGATTTATGGTATCTTATCGTGGAACCGTTGTGATTTCCAACTCTGAGACAGACTGTAAGGCTCTGTGATTTGGAACGATTGATCTGCAGCAGACAGATTCCATAAGGCTCAACGCTGAAGAAGCGTGAAGCAGGGGAGGCGAGACCTGGGCCCAGAACCGGGTCTAGGGGAGACCCACGTTCGGGCTTGAACCCCACTATGCCAGTGTCATTATTCCTCTGCAGAATGGGTTAGTACTGCCCGGGATGAGGATGGAGTTTGTCCCCACAGGAAGGAATGCAGCCAACAGGAATGGCTTTGTGCTCCAGCACAAATGAGTTCAGCAAAAAAGCACAGACTCTGGAACTAAACTAGTTTGAATTCCCACCTCCAACATTTCCCAGAGAAATTACTTACTTTGTCTCTAAAATGAGGATGAGGGAGTTCCTAACTTACAGGATTGCTTTGAGAATTAAGCAACTTAACTCATGTGAAACGCTGCGAGCAGTGGCTGGCACATGGTGAGTTCAATGAATCAGCTATACCATCTATACGGGGTGACAGGGCAGGAATGGGGACCCAGAAGAGGAAAGCAGAGTAGCAGAGGGTAGACCTTACTCCCCTGAGCTATCCCTGCAGGGGTGTTTGGATGGGATTGCACCTGCTCTGCCAATCCTTCTGTCTTTAATAATTGAGCTTCTCTCCCACTGTAGGAAAACATTGAGCTCTGCCACCCGCTCAGGTGATATGCTCCAGGCACAGGCGTTAAGGAGTTGCAGTTATCTTTCAGGTGGCCTCTAGGTGTCTCTCGGGCCTGAATATAGGAGAATAGCCCATTCCACTGACGTCTCTCTTCCCAGCCCTTCTTCTTTATTTCCTTCTTCCCTTCCCCCCTTCCACTCTTGACATTGTTAAACTAAACTGAATCCGAGCAGAAGTTGCATATCATCTTCTAGAAAGTCCAAAACACTCTAATTCAAGCTACACTCCCCAAAAGCATCCAAAAAGCTGCTGAAAGAAATGCGCGTGGTCCCAGGCAGAGTGACCCATAGTGAGTTATCCCCCTCATCTGTTGTCCTGGGATGTATTCAGGGTTCTCAGGGGCCACTCTCCTGCCACAGACAGTTCCTTCGAGCTCAGGCAACCACAGCCTAGGCAGCCATATAATATAATGCCTTAGCGCAGCTCACTCAGGGATCCATGCTTATCAGGAACATGGGCTTGGTATGAAGAGACACAAACACTCTGGAGTTGTACGCAGAATGGACCACCCAAGGCTTTGTTGGTATCAACACATTCTAGAGTATCACTCTGTTCATCAATGGAACCAAAAGCCTCCCATCAGGCAGAAGAGATGGTCAAGATGATGGGAGGGGACCATCAAAGGAGGAGGGACACAGAGAGAAGATAGATGGCACATGGCAATGGAGGACTGGCTTAGTCCACCCCTGCCTCATGAGAACAAGAAAAGATGATAATTGTTGTTGTTAGAAAGCCATCTGCTTGAAGGCACTGGAGAACAAACAAGCCAATTAACAGTTACAGAACATGATCTGGGAGCAAAAGGAAGGACAGAGAGGGAACCTAGCACCTGTAGCCAATCTTCCCAGAGACACCTGCTGCTTCCAGAAGCAGTCCAGAGGCAAGGAGAGGGAGCAGGAGAGCTCCTGGAAGCCTTTCAGTGCAGCGGGCATAAGGTCTGGAGTTCAGGGCCCACAAAGGGCAGGGAAGGCTCCTAAACCACCCATTCTCGGTTGGGACCATGAAAGGCTACATCCTATGACCAAGGGTGATCCATTTGTTAATCAGCCCTGTGGGCACTGAATCCCAGTGTCAAATCACTTGTGAAATTGGATTATGGGGAACCTGAGTTGCTCAGATCCCAGCTGCCAACCAGGAGAAAATACAAATCTTGCCTGAAGGGAGATAACATCAGACTAGGCCTCAACCTGTTTCTGTTACTCTTAATAAACAATATTGCCATTCAGTCAGAAATAACCCCATATTCTCAAAACCAAAGCATGGGAATGTAAAGCAAGAAAGGCAATTTAAAAAATAGAAGCAATATCAAATCATCAAGTTGTACACCTTAAATCTATACAAATTTAAGAAAAGAAAGACAATAGAAGCAAACTCTGGTATTGTGCTCAAAATGGAGTTATCAGAACTGACTTTAAAACAACTTTGTAAAGCCTACATCAAAGAAAGAATACCAGAATGAGCTCTCACGTACAAATTATGCACCTTCACCAATTATGTATACACACACACACTTTTTTGGAGTATTTAAAAATAGATCACAGACATAGTATCATTTCCCCTCTAAGGACTTCAGTATATAATTTTAATGACCTAACCATTGTACCATTATCACACCTAAGAAAATAAACAAAAGTTTCTCAATAGCATTTAAAATCCAGTTTGAGTCACAGTCTGTAAATTAACTACCTCAATATGTTTAAGCAGGTTATGAATAAGACTAAAAATTTCAACAGAAAACTGGAAACTTTTAAAGAAAAACAATGGACATTCTAAACCTGAAAAATAAAATTGTTGATATTAAAGCTTATAATGGGCTAAATAGCAGATGAGATACAGGTAAGGAGAAAATATGTGAATAGGAATATAAATTAGAAGAAAATATTCTAAATAAAGCACAAAGAGACAAACAGATGTGAAACATAAGGGAAAGGGTGAAAAACAAGAGAACACAGTGTGCTGTTCAGAGGTAATAGCACAGACTGGAGCAGAAGCAACCTTAAGAGATACTGGGTGAAGATTTCCCCAAACTAATGAAAGATATTTCATTGAAGACAATTTATGCCCCTTACCAGATACACTCAGACTCTCCTGACTCCAGGGACCTGCACCCCTTGTTTGTGGAGGTCTCCAGCTGCTTCTGCCCCAGCTGCCACCACATCACCTCCAGGGCCATTGGGGTCTCGGCCTTACTCCATGAGGTGAGCCCGGCTCCTCCTCGTCCCATGGAGCTGTTTGATCACTGCTCAGCTAATCTGGAAAATAATAATGAAATGATAGTTAGAAAATTCCCATATATTTGGAAGGTAAGGGATAAATTTCTAAAGAACTCAAGGATCAATGAAGACAGTACAATGCAAATTAGAAATTATTTTGAACTTGATAACAAAAATGTAAACACTTGTGAGATGCAGCTAACACGTGCTTAGAGGGAAATTTTAAAACTTAAACAGATATATTAAAGAACATAAATAACTAAATATCAAGTGGCAAAGTATCCATCTAAAGAAATTAGAATGAAATTACCAAATTAACTTTTTTTAAAGACAAAGTTGGAGAAAGAGAATAAAAAGAAAGGATAGAAATTAATATAATAGAAAATAGACATCTAATACAAAGACTCAATAAAGCCAAAGTCCTTTCTTTGAAAGAAGCAACTGGTCAAACTCCTGCTAAGACTTATCAATGTAAAAACGAAGAGACAAATCCCAAGAATCAGAAATGGAGGGTGGGGGGGCACATCACTATAGGTCCTGGAGATAGGAACATGATAGTAAGATGATAATTACAATAGACCAATAAACTTAAATTTTTAAGAGAAAAGTAAACAAATTCCTAGGAAAATCCAACTCACTAAAGCTGACTCCAGAAGAAATAATAAACATGGATAATCCTGTAATATTGAAGAAATTAACACCATAAATTCAAACCTTCCCTTAGAGAAAACTCAGGACCCAAATGGCTGCATCAGCGAAAAACGAATGCCAATCTTACACAAACTCCTCCAGAGAACAGAAATCGATGAAGCCCCCAGGAACCTGTTTTCTGAAGCCTGCATGACCTTGACACCAAAACCAAACAATGTCATTGTAAAAAAAGGAAAAGAACCGGCAAATTCCTCTCATATATAGAGATGCAAAAATACTTTTTACAGGGAAGGGAAGCAAGGTGAGGGGGATGAAGAAAAGTTGATTCATGTGTACAAGAATATCGTCAGAAGGAATAAGTTCTAGTATTCTATAGTACAGCAGAGAAATTACAGTTAACTATAATTTATTTTATGTTTCAAAATGGCTAGAAGAATTGTAATGTTCCCAACACAATGAAAATATAAAGTCTTGAGATGGTGGATACTGCAGTTACCCTGATTTGATCATTACACAATGGGTACAGGTATCAAAATATCATATGTACCCCCAAAATATGTACAGCCACGACATATCAACAAAAATACAAACAACATTTTTTTTAAATAAATGAGTGATGATTGAGAGAGACGGGGGACTTTCTGGAGCAAAGTGGCAGGGTCCTCCTCTTCACTGCGGAGGTTTGTCTGGAGGGCAGCTTTGGCTGGCTGGTTTGGAGCATTCACAGAGTGCCTTGTCCTCCCTCACCACCTCCTGCCCAGCAGCCTGTATCACATAGGCCTTGTTGCCATCTGTGGTCTGATTCCATCTGCTTTTATTTGTGGTTTGGGAGATACCTTATCACCTCATTTTGTTATAAATGCTATTCATAGATAATGAGTTTTTATTATTTCAATTGCTCTGTCTCGATTTGTTGAGGGATTCCAAACATTCACAATTATGCCACCACTGCTGCCTTCTTACTCAGGGTTTAACCCATGCCTTTAATATCAATGCTAGTCCATAGTATGTATGCTGCATTGTTTTTACAGCAGTTCCGTAGATATTCCATGGATAAATATTCAGATTGTGTTCTGTGTTTTTCTATTATAATAAATGCACAACAATATCTTTGGGCATATTTCTATTTTTTTAATTTTTGTAAAACATATTGCTAAAAGTGGGATTTCTACATCATAGTGTTAACAGATACTGTCAGATGACTTCCCCTAACATTTGGGGCAATGTACACTCCCATCTGTAAAATCAGAGAGTACAGTTTCTCTAAATCCTTTCCAATATTGGATCCTATAAATTTTCTCCAATTTTTAAAAATTTGATAGTAAATTTGGCATTTTGCTGTGTTAATTTTAATTGTCCTAATACTAATGAGGTCGAGAGTTTTAATTTTCTTTTACTTCTTGCATTTTCTCTTGCCTATTCATGTCCTTTGATATTTTTCAACTGGATCTTTATTTTTCCTTTTCTGAAGAAGTTCTTTGTATATGAGAGATATTAAACCTTTGTCCACATATAGTGCAAATATTTTACCCTGTCATTTGCTATTTGACTCTTTCTGATGTTTTTTGCCATATAGAAATGATTAACTTCTATCGTGAAACCAGCCACTATCTGCCTATATGTCCTTTGAGGTTTGTTTGTTGCTTGAGATGGCCTTTTTCACCCCAATGTTAGGCAACATTCTTCTATATTTTCTTTTAATACTTGTGTGGGTTTGTTTTACACTTAGTTATTTGATATGCTTTGGATCTGTGTCCCCACCCAAATCTCATTTTCAATTGTAATACCCAATATTTGGAAGTGGGGCCTAGTGAGACGTAATTGGATCACAGGGATGGCTTCTCATGGTTGATCACCATCCCCTTGGTGCTGTCTCATGATAGAGTTCTCATGACATCTGGTTGTTTGAAAGTGAGGGGAACCTCCCTGCTTTCTCTCTCGCTCCTGCTCCTGTCCTGTAAGACATGCCTATTCCTCCTTTGCCTTCCGCCATGATTGTAAGTTTCCTGAGGCCTCCCCAGCCATGCTTCTTGTGCAGTCTGCAGAACCGTGAGCCAATTAAATCTCTTTTCTTTATAAATTACCCAGTCTCGGGGTATTTCTTTAGAGTCGTACAAAAATGAACTAATACATTATTTAAACTTGGATTTTTTGTGCGCGAAACAAGGTAGGAGTCTATCTTTGTTTCCTTTCAAGTGACTGAGAATTAATTCATTTCCACCTCCTCCTTACTAATGAAATCCCAAACTTGTTCAGGACAAAAACTCTCTACCGTATTCTTCAGAGAAAGATAATCCTAATCCAGAGATTACATTAGCTTGTCTAAGCTCATAGCTCTTTCCAGAGACTGGCTCAAAAGTGGGCACGTGAACCAGTTCTGGTGGAAAAGATGTGAGGAGTGTTGTGCTGGGGGATTTGGGGAAGGTTCTCTCATGCTCTTCTGAGTCCTCGTGAGATGCCATCATCTTTCTTCCTCGGGGAAGGGGCTCTGAGTGGGTGTGAGGCCTGGGGGTGCTATGGCATCTGCCTGCCTATGCAGGAGGGGTTGGCATAGAAGAGGCACTGCTGACAGACTCTCTGGGAGTGGAGGCAGAGCCATCAGACAGCCCATTCTGAAGGCCTGCATCTCCATGGTTCCATCCTCCTTAAAACTGCGGAATAGCCTTCCTGTCTAAGCGTGTCTCATTACATTCATTTTCATTTACTTGATAGCTTTTATTGTTATTATAAATTGGCAGTTTTTCATTTAATTTCTATCTATTGATATTATCTTTAAAGATATTAATTTTATGTTTTATTTTGTGTGCAAAATATCTTTTGAATGCAACAGTTTTTAAAATCTGGCCTGTTGTATTTTCCAAGCCTGCAATCCTATTGCCTACAAATAAAGATAATTTTGATCTTTCTATTCTAACCTTGGTATGACTTCCTTATTTTGTATTTTATTACATTAGCTAGACTCTCAAAAATAATGTTGTTTAATAATGGTGATGGGGGCATTGCAGTCATGTTCCACATTTCAGTTGTTTAATATTTCACAATGTGTAGTTTTTTAATGAACCACCTTCATTATCTCACAGTAGCTTCCTCTTAGTTCTATTTTATTTACAGCTTTTGTGATAAATAACTAAAAATTACTCAAATGTGATTTTTAAATCTGTTTATTTAATTATATGTTTCTTTACTGTATTCATATAATGAGTATGCTAAGCATGTTAAACCTCTTTTTCATTTCTGGAACAAGTCCTGCTTGGTCAAGCAAGATTCATTTTCTAATTTACTGCTGAATTTGATTCACTAATATTTTACAGTTTTTTGGTTTTGTGTCTATATTCCCAAATGGAATTGATTCATTGTTTTCCTTTTACTTTGTTCTTTTTAAAATCAGATTTTGTTCTATACAAAGTCAAAGCATAGTAAAAAATAATAATAATAAAGAAAGAAAGAAGGAAATACAGATCATAAAGTCAGATTTTTGTATTAAAATTATAATGAGTGAAATATAAAGTAAATGAGAAATTTTTCTTCTTTTCCTGTGATCTGCCACAGTTTGAGTAACATGAAAGTTATATTTTATTAATTGAGACATGTTCTCTAGGGGCAATGCTCTATCATGATGTGCTTCCTAATGTGTATAGTACCACAAAAGTGTTTTCTTGCCTGAATAAACAGCTTCTTTGAAGAAGCTTCTTCTGTAAAAAAGTAATAATAATAATAACACAGGCCACAGAATTTTAACATTTGGGGAGAAAGTACAAATTTAGAGAAAGCATTCAAATTCTCATAAAATCACATCATATTTCATGCTCAAATTATATTTTCAAATCAATATTATTATTCATAAAAAGGTATTATTAAATGGCTTCACTGAAACAAATAAATACATACTTTTGAGGCATGGAAAATATACTTACCAAGAATCCACGAAATTCATCATCACGACAAGAGCAGCAGTAAAATGGAAATTGTACCACTGAAATGCACAAGAATAGCCCAATCCACTGAACCTAAGGAAATGGTCGTTTGACACAAACAATTACTCAGCCATTTCCTACTTCACAAAGATACAGTGAAGATAAACAGATTTCCATGAAAATGCTTCGGGGTGTTTCAAAGGAAGCTGCATTCTTTGTACGATCACCATTATTGTCAAGACTACCAATTTAAAAATGACCTATCTCTGGGGTGACCAAAGGGTACGGCCATTTATGGTGTGGTTTGCAAAGCCTTCAACTATGAAAAATGATTATTATTTTTGGCTCTGCTACAAAATGGAATTATTCAATAGGTGCTATGTGCCAGAAAAACAGTAGACTTTTCCAGAGAGCTCTCAGGCTAAAATTAGATGATAGTTGCCCAGCTGTAGACCAGTTATTGAAGGATCCATA